GTTTCGGGGCAGCCCCCCTGTCCCTGCAGTGGGCAGAGCCTTGGCAGTGCCAGACCCCTGGCCAGGGAGGGCAGGGGGAGGAGAGGACGGAGCTGCCGGGGGTGGGGGCTGGGGGCCGACAGCTGGGCCCAGAATTACAGCTCTGCATCCAAATAAAGCCGTAATGACAGTCCTGGCCCAGACGCTGCCAATTACGCCGGGCGGGGCCGGCACCACAGAGCCAGCTGGGGAACAGGACACGCAGCCAGCCGGGGGCCATGTGGGGCCCAGGCGTGGGGAGGCCGGGCAGCACATGCAGGGCCCTGCTCTGGGGCAGCGGCTCCTCTCCTCGTCTGCCAGGCCAGAGGCTCCCAGGGCACCCGGCCACCAGCCCTTGCGCCGGGTGCTGCTAGGAGCCGCCGCACTGGGGAGCTGGCATTGCCTGGGGCCAGCTGCTGGGGGGCCACACTGCCCCAGAGCCCGGCCGTGCAGCCGTGCGGGGTGGCGCTCACCTGTGGCACTGGTGCCAGACCCAGGCGTGGCGGCCGGTCTGGGGCCGGAAGTCGGCTCGGCCCAGGTTGTGGATCCGGGAGGAGAAGCGCAGCAGGCGCCGGTGCCCGTCGGGCCAGTTGGCGTGGTCGGCCGAGTGCGAGAGGCAGCGCTCCTCATGGGCGCAGTACAGCATGGCGAGCGGCCGCTCCTCCAGGTAGCCCGTCTCCTGCACCACCTGCGCGTCCAGCACCAGGTCCGGGGCGGCTGCAGGATCCGCGGGGTCAGGCTGGCCTGGCTTCCCTCGGGCCGGGCAGGGTCCCCCCGGCCCGGGCAGGTGCAGAGCTGGGATGTTACCGCCCGGAACCTGCAGCCCAGCTACCAGCATCTGCTCCCCCCCCAGCCCGGCGCCCCCGTAGGCAGCCGCATGCGACCGAGGACTTGCCCGGCTCGGGTGGGCAAGATCGGGGGGGCTGAGTGCCGAGGAAATCCCCAATCCTACCCCCGCCCTGGGGACGTGACACCTGCTGCCCCCGCCCACCCCTGCAGGCTCCTCCCCCTGCTGCCCCGCCCACCCACAGGCTCCTCCCCCTGCTGCCCCACCCCCACAGGTGGGGCCCATCACTCACTGTCGGTGCAGCTGACCCCGGCAGAGAAGCGCCCGCCGCCCGCCGGGCAGTGCACGGGGCCGTGGCGCTGGCATTGCTGGATGCTGAGCTCGGTGCCCGTGCAGTGCACGCCGCTCATCACCACCTCGCCCGCCTCCGGGCTGCCCTGCCAGTACCAGGTCTCCTGGGGGGAGAGAGACGCCCCAGTGCTCAGCGGGGACACGAGAGCCCAGGGCCAGGCCCCCCCACCCCCCCCCCCGTGGCCCTCACCTGGAGGGCGTGGCTGGCGAAGCCCAGCCCCAGCTGCCTGCAGACCACCATGGCCTCATTCAGTCCCCACCGTTCGCCGCACACGGCGCCCCACTTCAGGGCGCCCCCCACCGGCACCAACACTTCCACCACACCCTCCTCGGGGCTGCGGCCCCCCGCCAAGCGCACCTGGGCAGAGCAGGGGTTAGCTGCCAGGTTAGATGCTCCTCCCCCCCCGCCCGGCGACAGCCACTGACTCCCAGCCCAGCTAGGGGCACCTGGGGACCCCCGTGCCAGCTGCCCGCCCCACTCCATAGGTCCTCCGTGCCATTCGCAGCCTCCTTCAGCCTGTGGCATCCTCCCCATGGTGCCCTGTGCCACCCTCTCCTCCTGCAGCGCCCCACTGTGCCCATTCCCCCAGGCCCCCCAGCACCCAGGCCCCCCAAGCACCCCCCAGAAGTGCCCCACGGCACCCACTCCCCAAGACCTCCCAGCACCCCCCAGGATCCCCTCTCCCAGGCCTTCCTGCCCCACTGTACCCCATGGCACCTACCCCACCCCAGGCTACCTGCTCCTCCATGATACCACACTGCCCCCTCCCTGGCCATGCGCCCCACACCCCTGCCCCCCAGCATGGCTGACAGCCCCCCAAGGGCCACGGGGGGGCTCACCTGGCTCTGGTAGTCCGTGTGGGGCACGTTGCACCGGACGGCAGCGTCGGCCTCATGCCGGCAGCCGCTCTGCGCTGCCTCCTGGAAGCTGCACTCCTGAAGCGAGTGCTCGTAGCCCGTGCACTGAACCTCGGACATGTGGATGGGGCCCAGGCCTGGAGCCAGAGGCCAGTGGCTCAGCCGGACTCGCCCCTGGGTAGCACTGAGCTCGCCCAGCCCGCCCGGGGCCCTGCAGGGACCCCTCCCTCGCCCCCCGGCTGCTCCGGTGCAGCCCTGCCCGAGGGGCTCCCTGCACAGGGCCCGTTAGACCCTCCAGCCCGTCCTGCAGGCACCAGCCAGAGCCCCCCAGCCCGAGAGGCCTCAGGGGCTGAGCCATGGAGAGACGGGGAATGCCCCCTCCCCAGGGCTTGTCCAGGGGCTCCCCAGCCGCCTGGCTCACTGGGGACTGGACCGGGCCTGGCCGCTGGTCCCTGGTGTGCCCGGCCGGCCCCAGCTTGGCTCCCCGAAGGCCTCCCACGCCAGGGTCCAGCCGCTCTCCCTCGTCCCTCCCAGACGCTGCACAGCCCGAAGCTCTGGGTTCTCCCTGCCGGTTCTGCTCCGTT